GGGAGAGCATGTCCCTATTGATCGCGTAGGGAGCCTTGCAGGATTAACTATCTAAATTGGGAACCCGAGGTTAGATGCTCTGAGGGCAGGAATGAATGCCACCTTTTTTTCCAAGCCTGTTATAGCCTCACAGATGGTTTGTAATTTTGATCACTGTTCGCATCTTAAGAATCTCACAATTGGAAGGCACGAACAAAAACCATCTAATGATAACGCCAGGGAAACAGAAATCGCTTTAAAAGCGAGGACAATGAAGGACAAAAGATGAGCGCGGGGAGGAGAAGAGAAAAACAGCGAATAAAGAGGAACGGGGATGGGTGTAGCGACAAAAGGGTCGTTCACCTGGTTCGCAGGCTGAAGGGAAAATAAGCAGCGTCCATTCCACGGAGCAGTGCTGCCACACAGCGACAGAGAACAGCTCCGAGCAGCACCTGCGAAAATCTGCAGCACAATTGACACCGGGGGCTCTGTTTCTACTGTGGAAAGCAAACAGGACAATAGGTTGTTTGCCGAAGGAATGCTAAATGTAGTGGCAGGAGGCAGCAGTACTGCCGGGGAAGGACCTGATCTGAGCCTGACTGGCAGGTGCTTAGCCTGGTTCACGGGTTACTGACAATTCTCAGAGGCAGTCATGGAGTTAAAACTGGATTTTAAACCTTTACTTTATCAGAATAATCATTAATTTCTTTTTTAAAAAATCACTTTCTCATAGAGTACACACTAAACTTTTCTGATAGTCTCCCAGACATCCTATAACTGGCTTTTAATTACTACTTCTAGTAGTTAAAGACTTTCTAAAGAGAAGGCTGATATATTACTTAATCTTTTTCTAACTGAAGTATAATAATATCTCTTCAAAGGAAAAAAAAAAAAACACAAGGCTAGAACCCAAAGGAGATTTGGTAGCAAAGTCTTGTGAATTCCAGGTGCAGACAGAGCAAAGTGCCCTTAGCTTCATGCTCTTAGAAAATCCCAGCTCAAGTGGGTATTTTCCTGAAGGTTCTGTGCTATTTCTATCTCAACACAAATATATAAAAACATAAATTGTCTCAGGACACAGTAAAAAGTGTCACACGGACAGCACCCATCATGTGGTGCTGGGACTGAGCTCAGAGTTCTGGCTAAATGGGAGCAAAAATGTAAAATCTTTTTTCATATTTCCTTCAGTCAGTGCTGGAGGGTTCCACATCAGAGAGACCATGATGCACTTGTCTATCTCTTTGCTAGCAGAACTCACAAAGCAGGAAAATAAATTATTTTCCTTGGCTTGGGTGTAAGAACCCTGTTATCTGTAAGTCTCCCTGTTATCCTGGAACTACCACACACCTGACCAGAATTAAGCAGCATTAAAGTTCTAAAGGTGCTGAGCCCCTCTGGCTCCCCCTGGGATTTGAAATGCCTTCAGCAGTGCTGAAAAGCAGGTCACAAGATCCTCTGGGAATGCCAGTGTTTCACGAGAAATAATTTGCATGAAATTCAGCTGGGGATGTGTCTGCCCACGTCCCATAGAACAGTCCCAATTTTTCATCACAGCCCTCCAGCTGCCAGGCAGAAGTGTCTTTATGGATAAATTTCCCGTTCCCAGGTGTGTACATGGACAGGCTCTACCTTTGCCCTGGGATGAGCTGCTGTTTATAACAGCAGGTGCTCCTGCAAGATGCACGTCCCTTCTGGGATCACTGAAAGGCAAGGAAATAAAGACCCAAATAAATCCCTGTGCTTCATAAAGAAAGGGATCCTGTATCTTTATTGTCCATGCAGGCTGTTCAGCAACATTAGAATGGAGCTCCCAGCAGCTGAGCACACCTGAAACTCAAAACATCCTTTTTCTGCACAGTGTGATACCCTCAAAGTTTCTGTAATGATCATATCCCTCCTCATCTCCCTTTTTATTTTATATCAATTATCAATACAGTTAAAGGTTAGAAAAGCCCTGTCTGGTACTTGCAGTCCTGGCTCCTGATTGTCTCCAGTTGGAAGTGTGAGCCCAGCCATAACCACAATGCTGCTGGCAAACGCTATAAAAAGGGAATCTGCCTGAAATTGGAAAAGTTTTTTTCAGTACTTTCTCAGAGAAGGCAGCAGCAGGTCTGCTAAATGCGTTGGGGAAGCTGCAGCCAAAAAACAATCTGTAATGGGGGTGGGTGTGAAAGGAAACATGAGGTTGTCAGTCAAAGTGAAAAAGAACAGAATTTCCAGGGAGCTGGAAACACTATATAAAAATAAGCTCTTTAGAGAAGACAAAAAAAGAGAAAACTTCTTTCCTTGGAGATGGACAGAAAAAGGACAAGCAGATGGAGAAAGAGAAGGCACTGAAAAAAAAAAAAAAAAGGTTGTTTTCACCAGCTTGAGAGAGGTCATTGGTTGGACTTGCAGGGAACTGTTCCCTGCTTGTTCTCTGTGTGATGGCCTTTGCCATACCAAGCAGGGACTTTGAACACTGCTGGGATCTATTTAAGATGATCTAATTTGCTTCTACATGGATTTTTTTTTTTTTGGCTACAGATTCCTATCACATATTAAAAGTAAATTTGGGAAAAACTTTTCAGTGAATAAATGTGAGGCACAAACAACCATGAGAAAACAAAGGTGGGCAAGTGGGGAAAGGCCAGAGCAGAATTAGCTCTCAGGGCTGGCAGTGTCCTTCAACCCTGAAATGTACACAAACCCACTGTTGCTCTCACATTAGAGCCACAAAGCCCAGTGATCCTGTGTTAGACAGTATAAAATCAGTAAGCAGAAAGTGCATCCCCACATTAAGCTACTACTGTTTGTATAAGTAAATACATTATTAAACACAAAATTCCAGCGGTTCTTTTATGAGGCTGAAGCTCAGAACGGAGAAGCCTCAATTGCCACTAGAGGCAGAAACACTGCAGGGGTTCAGCAGACACTGATGGCAACTGGAGACACGTCTGGGAACCTACAGGCACTTTCCTAGAACTCACAAGAATAAGGAGATCAGGAGGCAGGAGCACAGATCTGTATTTACAAGGAACACATGCTGGACGTGTATCTATCTCATTTTAAGGCACCTGTATCTCGTGGAACAAGGCTGCTTGGTGTCTGGGCCTGGCAGCATCTCTCCTGGCAGATGAGGTTGTTCACCAGCTGCCTCATCCGCAGAGCTGCTCCCTTCCCAGGAGACTGCCCGAGCCAGGTGTGACAGGGAGGGGTCATCGCTCTTGGGAGAGAACAGAGAACAGAGGAATGAAAGAAATGTGAGCGGTTATATTGCAAAGTGACATTTTCCAGAAGACCTATTTTGAGTAATTGGGGTCTGCAGAGAGTTGTTTCTCAAACTAGAAAGACTTACTGTGCATCACACCAGCAGCTGGCAAAGGAGAGCTTTGGGTTTCAGCAGAAACACCAGTGGAGAGGGACCCACTTCCCCAGATCCATTCCTCTGGTAACCCAGGCAGGGACATCATATAACCCCTTTTAGAATCCTCCTGGCTCCTTCTGTAAAAAAAAAGAACAACCCAAAACAGGTTTTATCCACGTGGCTTCTATGGCAGGGCTGTTTCACAGCCTCACTCCTCCGATGGCAGTGTCTTTGTCCCTTCATTTCTGGATCTGACATGTTAATGCTCAGTGTATACCTGTTTGCTGCAGTGCCCACATGGTTCTTCATCTTTGTCTCCTCAGATGCAAAATGCTTGTCCTCAAGACAGCAGCCATAAATCCTTTTGTATCTGTCTTGGTGGACTCAAGGAACAACGTTCCCCTCATCCCTCGTAACAGACTCTCTGTTCTATGCTGCTCCTATTCTCCCTGCCCCTCTTTTAGCCTGGTTTCTGGAATGTGGGTGATCAGAAGCATATGCAGTAATTAAGCTGTGAATATATAAAAATACTTTGAAATTTAAAATCACGTTTGAAGTTTAAAATCACCAAATCACCTCTTAAAATCACATTTGCCTTTTTTTTTTTTTCTTGGATGCACCATAGGGACCACAGACTGACTGTGTGGAACCAGTTAGAACACACAAGGTCTACTCCATGACCACGATGATGAGCTCCCAGTGAATAAACTACAATCTTAATAATAATTCCTAAGTATACGACACACAAGCCCCACAGAACTGAATTTCATCCCATACTGGTTACTCTTGGCCTTGAAGTGATCTTTCACAAGAAGCAGAGCATCCCCCTGGACTTGGCACTGGTGGGGCCACACGTCGATCCCGTGTTCAGTTTTCAGCCCCTCACGACAAGAAGGACATTGAGGTGCTGGAGGGACCTTCCAGAGAAGGGAAGGGAGCTGGGGAAGGGTGTGAAGCACAAGTCTGCTGCGGAGCAGCTGAGGGAGCTGGGGATGTTTACCCTTAATAAGAGGAGGCTTGGGGAGATCTAAAGGCCATAAATTAAAACACAACTAAATCCTCAACATGAGGAAGAACTTCTTTCCATGGAGGGTGGCAAAGCACTGGAACAGGGTGCCCAGGGAGGGCGTGGAGTCTCCCTCTCTGGAGACATCCAAACCCACCTGGACGAATTGCTGTGCCACCTGCTCCAGGTGACCCTGCCTCGGCAGGGGGTTGGACTGGATGATCTCCAGAGGTCCCTTCTAACCCTAATTATTCTGTGATTCTGTCACCTTATCGTTCTCTACAACTCCCTGAAAGGAGGGTGTAGCCAGGCAGGGGTCGGTCCCTTCTCCCAGACAACCAGCAACACAACACGAGGACCGGGGAGGTTTAGGTTGGACATCAGGAGGAATTTCTTCAAGGAAAGGATGGTCAGACATTGGAACGGGCTGCCCAGGGGAGGTGGTGGAGTCACCGTCCCTGGAGGCGTTTAAGGAAAGACTGGACATGGCCTGGTGTTTAAGGAAAGTCTCGGTGCCCTGCTCTAGTGCTTTACGGTGGTGGTCGGTCACGGGGTGGACTCGCTGACCTCAGAAGTCTCTTGCACCGTGACCGGCTCTGAGTCCCGGCGCTCCCTCAGCTCGGCAGCGCCGCCCGCCCCGCTCCGCCCCGCCCGGCCCGGCCCGGCGCCCTCCTCAGGCATGGCGGCCGCGCGGCTCTGCCGCCTGCGGAGGCCCCTCACGGCCGCCTTCGGCAGCGCCGCGGCCGCGGGGCCCGGGCAGGAGCCGCCGGCGGAGCCGCTGACGGTGCGGCGGCAGGCGGGGGGCGTGCGGTGAGCGGGGGCGGCGGGGGGCACCGAGCCGGCGGGGGCCCGGGGTGGCGCTCCGTGAGGGTAACCCCGCTGTGTCTGTCTCTGCCGGGTTTCGCAGCACCATCGTCCTGAACAACCCGCGGCGGCGGAACGCGCTGTCCCTGCCCATGCTGCGGTGCCTGAGGCAGGACCTGCTGCACGACGTGAAGAGCCGGGAGCTCCGCGTCATCGTCATCGCGGGTACCGCGGGGCGCGGGCGGGGATGGGGCGCACACCGGGATTGAACCCCAGCCTCCCTCGGAATAGCGGGAAAGGGGACGGAAGGGACCTGCTATGGTGTTGTGTCCCTGCCACCCCCGCGGCCTCCTGCACCCCTCAGGCCTCGCCCCTGTATTCCTGTGTACTCATCGCACTTCCCGCTCTCACGTACTTAATTCCTCGTTCTCGGACGCGGCGTTAACAACTCGCTTGGGTTTTGTTACGGTTTTGTTTTTAACCAACACGTCTAAGCAGAAACACGCGCCGAGACGTCCGTGCTTCACAGCCGGGCCGTGCAGCGTGTTTACAGTCGGTGAGCTGCCTCCTTTTGCGAAATCAATCAGCGGGTGAAATAATTTGCTCTAAAACTACGTCTGAAGAATACTTTAAACAGAACAAAAGCCAAACAGAACGGGAGTTCTAATAGTTAGCATAGTAAAGCAGTGACATTCCCAGATGCGGGCTTTGTGCAGGAACAGGCTGAGCTGGGATGGCACTTGTTGCCTTTGGTGACAGATCCAGACTGGAGTAAACAGGGTTCTGCAAGTAAACAAGGGTTCTGCAAACGAAGTGCTCTGTTCTCCTCAGAGCCAGGATCAGCCAAATTATTGACACTGGTTTGTCAGAACTGTTTTTAAAACTCTCAGAGGAAGCAGAGACTATAATATCAATACCACAGTCACCCATAACCCACGCATGTAAAACAGTCTCTCTCTGAGCCTGTTACAGTTTCCTTCCATTTAGGTATTAACCTGGAGAGTTCTTGAAGATAATGAAACTTGAGCCTTTCTTAAGCCATCTTTTTTCTTCTGCTATTTTAAGATAACCTTCCTCTGCCCCCTTTCCAAACATCTCAGAGAAATTGGTTTGTTAATTTAGGATGATGCTTTTTCCTGTATTGAGAGGAAAACACTGTGTGTTAGTGCACACACACAAGTGGAAGTGAGCTGACTCCACAGGGGTGAGTTTAAATACACACATTCAACATTTCCAACAGCAGTTCCAGGTTGGGAGTACAGTGGTGTGGCAGTTTGTGAGCACAGTTGCACTTGGGGTTTTAGTTTAAAAAGGAATTGCATGTTCCTGTTGATTGCCAGAAGAAATTTCAAGAAAATAAGAGACTTCTCAGGGAATGCTTTGGGTCTTTAACACAGACATTGCAGTGGATTCTTCTTCAATGAGGCATAAATGCAGATGTGATTAATTTTCAGATATATATTGCTGATCCCATGAGCTGACTGACAATAACTGTGTGTTTCTTTCTGACCCTTAAGAAAAAAATCCAGGTTGGGTCTTACATAGTTGTAGCTGGAAATGTCATATCCAGGCAAATATCTGAGAAGTCCCGAAGGATTAAAAAGCCCCACATTGGTTTATTCTCATAGCACATATCCTCATGACAAAGGAAAACTGTTGTAAGGATTGCACACCTGTAAAGGGTGTTTTGATCTTAGCAAATCCAAAGCTTAATTCCACAAAAACCTGCTGGTTTGCTGCCCAAACCCTGACCATACTTTTTGGTGATTCTCTAGATGACAGCTCTAGCAGTAACAACACCCCAACAATCCTTCTGGTTCTCCTCTAGCAGAATAATCTCTTTTTTTTTTTTCCCACTCTGACCTTGAACACCATGTCACAAAAAATATCGATGCTTATTTAGCAAATGTTAATAATTAATTCTGGGTACTTGACTGTGTTTATCAGTCTGAGAGCAGAGCACTCCAGCCTTGCTCCAGCTGACCAGTTTGTGTTGCACCAAGGAGCACTTTTGAACAGTATCCTTACAAGAAAATGGGCTCAGAGCCTTATTTATAACTGAGTTAACTGGAATGGAAGTAAAACTAGGCCTTGAAAAGTGTTTATGGGTGTTCCTGTGGTTAAGTGTTACATTGTGGCAATTTAAAGTTGTCACAAAGCCCAGAACACAACATTTTCCAACTCTGTGCAAAACTCCCTCCCCAAACTCCTTTTTGACCATGGACATCTCACTGACATCTCTTCAGCTGGGGTACTGATGTGTCATTGCCCCTGGTCTCTTGATTAATTCAGACTGACTTTTCCTGAAATTCTTCGCAGCTGAAGGACCTGTGTTTTGTTCCGGCCATGATTTAAAGGAACTGTCAACGGAAGATGATGTGAAGCATCATTCCCAAGTGTTTGAGTTATGTGCAGAGGTGAGCAGTCCTTTTTGAGTGACACTGCTTGTGTTTGGTATTTGAGAGCAAGCACTGGTTTGAGGAAGGACAGCACTGCTCACTTGCTTGCTCTAAAGCACAGGCTTTTGCTCCAGATTCCTTGCTTTGTGCTGCTCTGCTATTTTAACGGTGAATTTATGTTTCCCTGGATTTCTCTGCATGTAAATAAAAGGGCTGCAATGACAACATGCACGTCTCCAGCAATGGGTACAGTCACAGTGTGTTCCTTAGTTTAGCCACTGTTCCTTGCAGCTGAGTATTTGGGCAACGTCATTCCTAAAAATCTAGGGATAAGCACCTTCACATCACTTGTAATCCAATGTTCTTTCCCAGCATCTCGTTGGGAGCTCAAGACCAGCTTAAACATCAAGCAGACAATGTGGAAATAAGATCTGACTCACAGGTTGTTCCAGCAGCAGAACATGCAAGTTCTTGTTACAAAGACACACTCCTGGAGGGTGGGATGTTAAAAGTGAATCGTGGAGCCTTTGGAGGGAATAGCAAAACCCCCTTTGATTGTGACAGTGCTAGAATTTGATCCCTAATCCTGCTCAGTGTGACAGCAGAAAGTCCTTTGAAACCTTTTATTCCAGTTCCTGCAGTAATAATGATCTCTGTACACGTTGCCAAATCCGTACCTACGGAATGCTGTGAAAGCTACAGCTGAAGGAGCCCAAATCCAACAGTTTTGAGGTGTATTTTTTTTTGGTCAGTAGAGAGAGAAAGGTACTTTTGGGGGCTTCCAAAACAGGATCGTGTCTTCCTAAATTTCGATGCTGATCTCTTTCTTTGTCCATGCAGGTTATGACTTTAATCCAGAAGCTTCCAGTGCCAGTGATTGCCCAAGTAAACGGCTTGGCTACAGCAGCAGGCTGTCAGCTCGTGGCGAGCTGTGACATCGCCGTGGCAAGTGAGAAATCCAAGTTTGCTACTCCTGGGGTAAACATTGGGCTGTTTTGCTCCACACCAGCTGTGGCCTTGGGCAGATCTCTTCCTAGAAAGGTAGGCTGCCTTCCCAGGCATTATTTGTAGTTTTGCAAAAAGTAGGTTCCCACGTCAGGAGTTTTAGTTCCGTCGCCTGAACTTTATTTTCCTGCAGTACAACACTCAGAATACTCTGCTGCAAAAAGCATCTCCATAACTCTTTGGACTGGGACAAATAATAAAGGGATGAACTCTGCTTAGGGAAAGCAGCTTCCCACTGATGCCATTCCAGCCAGCACGAGCTCATCTCAGCAGCACAGCAGCTCAGTGATCCCTTTCCTTCCCAGCAGACAGCTCTGTGCTTTAGCCCATGATGTTCTCCCCTGAGGAGGAAACCCCTGCAAGTTCAGGATAACAATCCCACTGACATACCAATTCTCACCAGGCAGTGACATTTCACTGCCAGCATGATCTGCCTGGCTGTAGAGCAAGATGCTCTAAATAGCATCTGAAACCCTCCTGTACTATCTTCCTGTCTCATGTCCTGCTGATTGTGGCTGCACATCTCTCACTGCCTCAAAAATGGTACGACCTGCAAAGCTTCCGTAACTGAGAACAGGAATTTTAAGTTCTGATCCAGTTGGATTTATGCAGACAGACTCTCCAAGCCCAGCAGGGCTCTGCTGAGATGCAGCACAAATCCCATTGCTGGATAAGAGCTTCAGCTTGAAATTTCCCATCTGTGAGGCCATCCTGTTCAAATATAGTCCATGGGGTTTTTTCCAAGTCTGCTGGAGTGTACAGTTGTAACTATTTCTGAATTAGTGTTTCTTGGGGGTGTGATTCCCTTTTTAGAATGTGTGGGATATACTTTTCCCTGTGCCACCTTGTCAAAGTAGCAAAGAACATTCCCTGCAGTTCCCAGGATTGCTGATTTTACCTCTTAACAAGTGAAATGTTGCCATTGTTTCAAAGATACTAATGAGGATAATCAGCTTTTATGATTCAGGCATTGGTGGAGTGCATGAGGAGTCCTGGAAAAAAATCCTCATTGATGTATCACATTGGACAGTCGCTGAGCATTTGGGGGATTTTTTAATGTGAAACCTCAAGTACCAGATGCTGGAAGCAGCAGGAGACTGAATTAGCTGTGGCTATATGAAGTGCATATTTAAAACCACCCATACCAAACTTAAAACTAAGGCAGGTGTTTTCAAAAGCTGCGCGTATGCCCAGCTTAAAATACCAGGTTCAGTCATTTGACATTGTAGGTGATCCACATCTCTCTGAATTCCTACAGCAATCAGTAGAGGTTGTGGGCTTTTGAAGAGAAAGCCAGAGGTGTCAGCCTAGGGCAGCTGGAATCAGTGGGCAGGTTTGAGGAGACGAGCTTTAGACTTAGTCCTCCTCTTTGCCGAACCCTCTTAACGTGTCCTTGGCACTTTAAGAGGCCAGAAGATCGAAGTCTTAACATTTGTTAAAAGAGTGACTTGTACTTGGAGGAGGCAGAGGCTGAAACTCCCCAAACAAAGCAAAGCAGTAAAGCCATTGGATTGACTGAACTCAATATTTTCCCTCGTTCAGGTGGCTCTGGAGATGCTGTTCACGGGGGAGCCTCTCTCTGCTCACGAAGCGCTGATGCACGGGCTCGTCAGCAAGGTGGTGCCGGAAGACAGGCTGGAAGAAGAGACCATGAAAATCTCTCACAAGATCTGTGAGAGCAGCAAGTCCGTCCTGGCCCTGGGGAAAGCCACCTTCTACAGACAGATAACCCAGGACCTGGACACTGCTTACAAAATGACTACTCAGGTCATGGTAGACAATCTGACTTTGAGAGATGGGCAGGAGGGTATCGAAGCCTTTATCCAGAAGCGTAAGCCAGTCTGGACACACTCTCAGGAGGAGAAGAAATGAGTCCTGTCTCTTTTAACTAACCTTAGCTGTGCTTTATGATTCTTCACGCAGTTGCCTTTGGGAACTATATTTTTGTTCTTACTGAAAGTTAAATTTGTCTTCTTGCATATGCCAGACACAATAAATTCATTCTGAGTATGTAATAAATGTTAAGAAAAATCAAAGAAAATGGGTTTTCTCAGCAGTGAATTTAATTTGTGGTTTTAGGAGGAACTCTGTGCTGCAAAAATCAGTTTAAGATGTCCCAGGTTACTCAGGGAGTCACAGAGACTGAGAGGGAGCTCAGATCATCCTGTTCAGTACCTCTCCCCATAGTTCTGGGTGAGAATTTCCATTTATTAACAGAGAATTAAAGGGCTTGGGCACATGCCAGAGATGATGGTAGTACATATCATAATGGATTCCAGGACTGTTTGGGTGTTACAGACAGAAGCCTGTAACAGTGATCCATTGCTCCTTATGGATATGTCTGCTTAGGAACTGGATGGATCCCATAGCAAATCCTGGTTTTCTACTGTCAGCTTGTCCCAGCTCTAGAGAACTGTGCTGTTGACTCCAGGGAGGATGAGCATGGCTTGGGGTGAAAGCCACCCCGTGGGCTTCAGCAGAGATCCCCACCTGGCAGTGACTTGACCCAGCTGTAATTTTCAGGCTGTTTGTCTTCAGTTTATCACAGAATCTTGGATCTGATAGTTGGCAAGTCCATCCTTGTACTCAAAGCCGGGTTTTTACCAGCACTGGAGCAGCTCAGCCATGGATTTACAGACTTGACAACCTCCTACAGCAGGGATTCAGCTACTCCTCTGGGCAATCTCTTACAGTGCTTTGCAACCCTCCTGGTGAAATATTTCTTGGTAATGTCCAGTCTGAGCCTTGAAGCAGAATTTTTGTCCATTGCCCCTGGTTACATTATCTGACATTGCTGAGAAAACTCCAGCTCCATTATCTGTGTAACTGTCTTCAAGCAGTCACAGGCTGCACTTACACCACACTGATCTCTCTGCCAGCCTGAACAAGCCCTGCTTCCTCCACCCTCTCTGTAGGTCAGGTTGTGTAGGTAACCAGCTTGGCAGCCCAGCAGTGGACCAGTTCACATCCCTTTATACTGGTTGTGCCCAAACTGCTGAGGATCTCATGCTGATGGTGATACTGAGTGATGCAAGTCTTGATACCAATCCATGGTGACCAACATGGGATGGCCTCCCAGCAAAGGCATTTCTTCCCCAAGTTCCACATAGCCAAATCATGGAGGCTCATCCATCTCATCCTTAAACAGACATCTAAGCGAGATCAGGCGAATCACTGCACGGATGGGCCTTTTATTCTTTGTTGACAGTACAAGTAGCCCAAAGTGCTAAGCACAGACTTAGATGTCTTCAGTTAGATCAAATTAATCCAACCTATGGCTCCCAAAACTCCAAATGTGGAAGTATCATGAATCAGGAAGGATTTTTTTAAGGTATGTTGCTCCCATGTCCTTGGTTCCCTGGCTGGCTGAATGTGAGTTCCTTCCTCAGTTCCCCACTGGAGTGAATCAGATCCCCAGGAAAGTCCCAGGACTGTCCCCACAGGCCTCTTATTGAAACCAGTGATACAAATATTTTACCATTTATACACATCCAGCCCCACAAAGCAATTCCCTTTCCCATCTACAGGTGGAAAAGAGAAATTTTCAGTTCTGCTGCAGTTTTTGCTTTGAGGAATGGAAACTTAAGCTTGAATTCCCCACTCAGCATAGTTTGTTTCTATAGAAATCAGAAAAAAGGGGTACATTGGGACTATTTGTTTTAAAAATATAAACTTTTATTGTTACCACCTGTAAAGACGGGTAAGTTTATAAAAAAACCTCACACGGTTAATACAAGTTAGGAACTGTTATGAGCAATTAAGAGAGAGAAGAGTTAAATCTGGAGCCCAATAACCTTCATCATGTCCTTTTCAATGCAGTAAGATGCTGCACTTAGACTCTGTTCCCACATGCTGCTCTAAAAGCATTAGGAAAGAGTAAATTGTTTTTAAAAATATTTATATTTAATGGCTATCTTGCAACTACTCAGCAAATCTCAACTGGCTCTTTTGTTCCAGGCTTTTAGAAATAAGTACATTATCTGATTTTTGCAGAACAGTGCTCTTTCCAGCTAACTGCAGTAATAAAATGGTTTCACTGGCCATCTTAAAGCAAAAGTGACAGTTTAGATGAGCACATTCTTTCAGATATTTAGAAAATATTCTGCAGTTGATTGCCATCTACACTGGATGGGCTTTGGCATTATTATTATTATTATTAACTCCTGCTTGCAATTTTTGAAGGGAAAAAAATGCATTTTAAAAGAATAATTACTTCATTTGAAATAATATAGTTGTATCACAGTGGAATCAAATTATTCCTGCACATGGATTGATTCAGTTTGAATGTCCTTGTAGGACACTGATATTCCAAAGACAGAGAGGTCTCCTAAACCTTTTCACTATGAGCAGAATTAATGGAAGTTAAGAACAGGCACACTTGAGCAAGGTAAAGTGGTGTTGGGAGGGGGAGTTAACTATCAGAAATGGTGTCCAAAAATTGGTTACGTGATAGGGAAAGGTTAGGACTGTTACCTTCTCCTTGGCTTTCCCTGTAGAACACCAAGCACCATAATGCCTCGAGCTCCTTCACAGTTCCAGTCCGGGGATGCTGAGGAGTACAATGTTCTGGACAGCTGAGTTCAGATCCTAAAGGACACTTCTTGGGAAGGCTCATGGTGTTTTTCAGCCTAATTCACAGGTAGGACCAATGTTTGTCTTGTACTTGCAGATCTTGAATAGAAAAAATAGGTTTTTAACTCAGTTTTCACAATATTTGTACTATTTCATGCAATCAAATAATTATGCAATTATAGAATCATCGAATCATCATAGAATGGTTTGGGCTCGAAGGCACCTTAAAGATCATCTTGTTCCAACCCCCCTGCCATGGCAGGGACACCTTCCACTAGCCCAGGTTGCTCCAAGCCCCTCCAACCCAGCCTTGGACACTTCCAGGGATGGGGCAGCCACAGCTTTTCTGGGCAACCTGTGCCAGTGCCTCACCACCCTCACAGGAAAGAATTTCTGCCCAGTATCTGACCTAAACCTACTGTCTTTCAGTTTGAAACCATTCCTCCTTTTCCTGTCACTACATGCCTGTTTAATTAGTAATCATCAGTTCCACGAATGGTGGCATCCACAGGAACATTTATCTCTTGCTTGAATCACTAGACAGAAAAACTTCAACAGGTTTTATAACATTCCAGCACTGGCCCCTGAAGACTGACAAAACAATTTTTCATTTCGGACTTGCATGGGATTTTTATTTTTGCCCACATCTGCCTTTATTGTTTAATTTAATGGACTTACAAGCTATCCCCGGGAAACAGAGCAGTTCCAGAATTGTTAATTAAGTTCTACAGCCAAGAAACAGCAAACCAAATGATGGATTGGGAGCCTTACCACCGTGGTTATCTGCTGCCCGAGGGAAGAGTTTGTCCCAAAATAGCAAGGAGCCTATTCCCTGTCACCCCATTCATTTTTATTAAAGGAGCTCTCTGCAGCAATGTCTGCCAGGTAATTAGCCCAGTTTCAAGTGACAATGATAGCATGTGGCACACACTGAGCCTCCTCTGGAAACAAAGCACAACCCCATCTTCACACAGCCTCTGGGATGCAGCTTGTCCCTGGAAATGACCAACAGGGATGTGTTTTGTGTCCGTATGCACAGGAACAGCTGGAATGCAAACTGGTCAAGAAAGTACAGGCAAGGAATGGCCAGTATGGATGGACTGAACTACCTCAGGGTGCATGGAGCCTTAGAAGAATGGCTCTGAGCCTTTACCTGGAAACTTTAGAAAAGATATATACAGGCAAAATCTAGAGGGTGTGGTCACGTCACTTGTGATGTGGCTTCAGGCTCCCCTCCTGGACAAGGCAAACCTAAAGCCAGGGAGCAGAGACAAGGAGAGGAACACTCAGCTCAAGGCTGTTCCTAATTCATGGACCTGCCTCACCACATCACTTGGGGGATATTTGCTGAAGACAAACAGAGGAGTTGGGTGACAGGCAAGGTATTTACACCCTCTGTGTTCCACAGGGCCAAAGAACAGTTTATCTGAGCTTTCATAGAACCTCCTTAAGGCTGCCCAATGCAGGATCCATCAACCTGGGTGAGAATTAGTTTCACCTCAGTTTTAAGTAATCTCCTGTAGCTGTGGAGGGGAGAGCTTGAAAATATGAACTGCAAAGGTTCCCAAAAAGCTGGACACAGCTAACATTAAAAATTCACGACTCCCTCACTGGCAGGAGTCAGCATCGGAGTTCTTCCTGTCTAGCTCATGATTTGTGAGCATTTGGATGCCAACACCGTGTCCTTCACAGAATTGCCTCTGGGTGATTCCTGTACTGTCATTCCTGTCTTGCAGATGGGGAAATTGAGGCCAAATGTGCTGTGCCTGAGGTGTCACGGTGAGCCCGTGGCGCTGGAACCGGGGCATGCTGACACCTGCTCCCTGTAATTCTTCAGCAACAAAGTTTTTGGTGAAATCAGCAGAAACGCAGGGTGATTGTGTGCCCTGAAGTGACTGCAAAGGCTTCTGAACAGGAATTATGAGCCACTGCATCAAAGGCCCCTTGCTTGACGTTTATTGGCTTTTTGATGAATGTTGGGGTAATTCTACTGTCAACAGTTTCTCATTAGGAGCCTGGCAATGTACTTTCTGACCATTATCTTGCTCAATATCACACTGGGCTGCTACAAAGAGCAGGGATTTTATGTAAAACCCATCTGTCTCTGTAGCTGCAAACTTTTCTAATAACTCTACATTTAAATAATCTCATGGAAATGCTGGCTGCCTTCTCTAAGCAATAAGGAGAAGAGACAAATGGTTAAATTTCCATGAAGACCTAAAGCTATAGGACAAATCTCATACTGCAACGAGGAGGATTCATTTGTCTTGATTCCACTGGCATTGCACCTCAATTATACTAATTCTGAATTTCACTACTGAATAATGCATCCCCATCCTGGTTTACACTCACAAAGGAAGGAAAAATCCATCAGAGGTTTACACTTCTCACTCTCCATAGTATAATGTACCATCTCCTGGCTGCTCGTTGTCAATATTAGGAATTATTTTTGTCAAAGCCATAGCTTTT